GACGAGCAGTAGTAGCTATCGTGACGATGGATCCAGAGGAGGAGCTCCCCACCTGGGCGTGCAACTGTATGTGTCTTTCGCCTTCACGACGGTCCGTGCTGTCGAGCATGTCATGGTCCCGCTCTACCAGAAATGGTAATAACACGATACATAGGAGCACTTGGGATGAACACTTGCAGGTGTCGGTTGACTAGTACTGCTGGGGATGGTGATGACGATGTCGGCCCCAAGCACAGTGATGAGCGTCTCCGTCATTCGATAGCCTGGCAACTATGGCTTCTGCAATGGTTGGCCGCGGCTGAGGTCTTGCCATTGTCAAGAGCGAGGTAGAGAGTAACTCCACATCAGGTATCACTATTGAAGGTGGACCCACAGAGGAGAGCAGTGGAGTGTTGGAATGTAGAGCGAGACCTGTGTCGAGTTATGGCCCATAGACTGCATTCCATGGCCAACTGTGGGATATCACCCCAACAGATATCTATGGTAATAGTCACGCGCCACGAAATTGGCAGCTGTGTCGTGCTCAGATGTCGAGTAGTGCTGCTCTTGAGATAGTAGAGCATGACCTGACCGTACTTGGGGAATCTCCGATGCAGCTGGGGATGACCAGTGAGGTTTATGTGGAGCTCTTGGCGGGGACTGCAGCCTTCACTGACGGCACATTAGAGGCTGCGGGGCTCAGCAAAGACTGGCTCAAGTGATGCAGTTGTGTGTCATCGACTGTGCCGACGTTGTCTATCAGGCACATTGTAGTAAACGACAGGTGCCGTAGAAAGCTGACTATAGACGGCACGCCAGCTGGGTTCCTCCGGCTCACTATCGAGTACCTAACTCGCGCCTTGAAAACAGCGAATGCCCCTCAACGGGAACACAAACGCCGACAAAAGTGAGTCTCGTAGCAGTGTGAGGGTAGTGTTCTGATTCCAATGTCAGGCGTACTGACGATTTCCGTCGGAGTGGTCGAGCTCAGCTAGCCAGCACTATCAACGAGTTAGGCTGTATCCATCTAGCCCAGTTGACTCAGTTGCTGCGGTCCGGCTCAGCGGATGACACTGTTGTGGTAGCATTAGCCGTGGACGCCTTCTGTGAATCATACAGCGAGTTTGTTGCTGCTGGAGACAAGTTGAATGTTATGGTACCACTAGTGAACTTGGCAAGGTAGTAGTAGTAGGCCGCAGTACTCCTGTGATGATGGTGATGATGATGCCCGACTCCGCCTCAGATTATGGCTAGCACTAGCTACTGGCCCACATGTGGGAAGTGACTCTATCGAGAGATACCAGTGTACTTATAGAGCCATACGTCACCTTGATAGGGCTGCCAAGTACTGCTAATGTGACGTACACGCTAATAACAGAGGGACCGCTTTAGGTCGGCATCGGCTAATAAAGAGGCGGAATCTGCCTTTAGTAAGCGTGATATATACGCCACTGCAGCTGAGCAAGCCCAGCGACTTGGACGTCATCTTGCGAATGTCTTCATGGACGTTGACCACCTCACACAGGAGGGTAGGCAGTCGTCTCCCAGTGTGGAACTGGGAGTCTTCTCTTCAGGTGACTATAGTGCTCCAGTGAAAGTCGCTATGGAGCATGATGTAATTTGGCGACCTAGTGAGGACTTCTCCGACAAGGTGAAGGGCCAATCGATCGGTAGCCTAGCGTCCACTATGCTCTCCGAGGCCTTGGTTTATGCTGGCAAGGCATGGACCTCTAATAAGGATACCAACGATGGTCGGTATGCTGCTGTCACTTGGCCCTCTTTAGTACTGCTGCGTTTATCCAGGGGCATCGGAGTTATTGGCCCGGTGTACGGCCCTGGTGGACGTTGGTCGGGCTAAGGTGAAGTTGGCTGAGATACTCAAACTGGCGACAGATACCGGCAAGCGGAGCGATGCAGCTATCACGGTACGAATGTCATTACTCTAT